TGTACATAAGTGATGGTACTCCAATACTGGTTTTTGCACTCTCAGAAGTCAAACCAGACATTAAAACTGTGCTCATTGTGCCACTCCTGACTGTTGGACAATCCTTCCTCTTGTGACCTCTGCCCTCAAAACCCTAGACCTTTGACCTGGTCTCATGTTACCTGCTCTTTCCCTTGCACTTCCTTTTATTGCAGTCCGGTCTCTTCCAGGCAAGAGAGCTTCTACGAAGGCGTGGAGGACGACTTTGAAGATCTCCCTCAAGTCAAAGCTAAATTTCCATTTCACAGTGAGTGCCTGTTTTTTGTCTCAGTTGTGTGTCAAGAAAAGAGCTTACAACACCGCAGGTTTCCAATAAACATTGCAACTTTTTCCAACACCTGTCATAGCTCAAGTACACCGTTATTCCTCTGAGTCACAGAAGTCATACCTTTCTGATTAACCACTCCACTGCAGAGTCAAAATATACGACTTTCAAGTGTTCTTAAGACAAATTTCTGTCTGCAGAGTCGAGAGTGCTTGAGTTGGAGGCCTGTGGCTCATTGTTTCAATTGCACTTTTCAAAGTTCCTGGCTTTTGTTGCCATACTCAAATATAGTTCTGTTCTGGTTCTGGTTTAGTTCTGTTCTAACTGTTTCATGCCAAAGAAATAATAAGTTATCAGTGGTGTAACCCCAAAATTTTCAAAGTCAGATTTGAATATTTGCAAGCAATAAACTGGTCGCGAACATAGGTTTCAAGAGATCAGGCCTATCTACTCAGTGCAAGAACAAGAGAGGGTGTGCTTTTATATGGCAGAGACTGTCCTTTAGTGGGAACTCCACCATGTGCGGACACAGGTGTATGCATGTTTTGAGCACACCAACCAGTTTCTGTTGGAATGTGTGTGGCCTCTGGGATGTTTGCCAGGTAGTAAGATGAAATTTCTCCCTCCAACCTGTCGCTTCTTTCAAGTGGGTGGCGGATAGACATGCCGTGGTCCACTCTGAGTAATTTGCTTTTATTTTTCCCCCTTTATCCAGGTGAGGATGAGAACTCGTTGAGCATCGAGGTGGGCAACGTGCTGGAGGTGGTGGAGGAGGACACCGGTGACGGCTGGACCCGCGTCCGGCGGGGAGATGAGGAGGGCTTCGTGCCAACCTCCTACCTGGACTTTGAGTCATGACGGCAGAGTGGGCCCGCCACCTCGTAAAGAACCCCTTCGCATCTGGCCATCAAGATTCAACGGGCTTGGCCGTGGCACTCGTCACAGGGACGCCGGTTCTCGGGCAAAAAACCCCTGATTTAGGGATCTTTCATACAAAACGTCAGGTTAGTCTCATGCCTCAACAAGGTACGATTCAGACCCCTCTGGCCATATTTTCAGGCTCAGCAGAAGAACTCGCTTGCATCCCAGTTGTAAACCATCAAATGTTACTATGGACGTGCCATCCAGCAGTGAACACTACGTTAGTTGAGTCCATTGGGCTTTGTTTTGCTGTCTTTTGGAAACCTTTATACGCGTACGCTGGTATGAGTGCGCAGACAGGTAACAAGTTGATGTGCTATACTGGTATACTTCCATTGATGTGAACACAGGTTTGAGTACGGAAACACAAAAATATACAGCAGTTTGACTTCTGTAACAGTAGATTTGAGTTGCAGGTTTTTGATAATCACAGTACAAAGATAGCTGGAAAATAAAGACTTATGTGGGAGAGCAGTTCAGAACCCAAAAGTACTGATAGAAATCTTCTGACTGAGGTGCAACTTTTGTTTGCCCGTATAATGCTGCATCCTCCATAAGTTTACAGCTTGTAACCTCGACGGAGCAAAACGACTAACCTGTTGAAAAACTGAGGCGTGGCCTGCCACAGCAAAATCTCTCGTTCTAACCGGAATGGTCCCGTTAAGCCTGACGGTCAGATGCAAACAGATTAAATACATTTTTTGGGGGGAGGGGGAACGGTGCACTTGTTTGTGTCAAATGGCAGGTGGATTTGATTTATATGTGCTTTGTATGCCTGTGGTAAGTTTCAAGATGAAACCCAACACGTAATTGTTTTAGCTTGCTACTACGAGCTGAAAAAAAAGGCATAATGGTCATTGTACCTTTCCGAATGTGTATGGAACGCATACACAATTTTGTAAACTTAAAAAAAACAAAAACGAATTCTTCAGTGTAGTTTTCTTCATTGTTCCATTCGAACTTATGTGGGCATTTCAGTAACACATTTGTGCTTGTTGTTAAGCTTGTTTTGTTTTGCTTTTTTTTTTTTGTTGCTCCATTATAAATTGTGTAAACATTTTATACTTGTAAAGAAAAAAATTGGATTAACCAAATGAATCCAGAAAATGAAATGTTCAAGGCAGCCTTTTAATTGTAATTATATTTTTATTTTTATAGTCTCGATCTCAAATTTGAGAAGAAAAGAATTATTGCAACTGATAATCCCACGACACTAGATTGAAGAAAAACACAATAAAAGCATTTACAAAGGCATCCAAGTTGCAATTTCTTTCATACATTTGAGCAGTGTCTCCCTGATTCAGTTTAATAACCCTACAAGTGAACACAGGTGAAGATTTCCAGTAAACCCGTGTCTTTTGTGAGAGTAATCGTAATGATCGTCTGACTCCAGACTCCAGTGGTGCCCTGTGGCTGTGCACATAACTGGGTACCGGTACTTGTCTATGTTAATTATCCATGTTTTGTATCTATGCAGGTTTTGCCTTGTAAACTAATACCATTAGAAGCAAGAACATAGGTTAGATGCAGGAAACATTTCAACGCTGTATAAAACGGAAAAAAATTTCTTTTCATTTCCCCTTAATCATGGCTAACAAGATAAATAGTAAATAATGGCTAACAACACATTTCTTTTATTGAGAATTACATGCAGGACTCAACATTTGTTTGTGAACTCCGTCAGAAAAAAATTTATTTCTGTGAATATTGAAAATTACATGTGTCCGTATCAAGTCGATGGGTGCTTGGAATTGAACATGTACGTAGCCGCTGCAAGAAAGACTAGCCTGTTTGCGGCAAACGTGTCTGCAGTGGCTGAAGAAAGCGGCTTCCATATATTAGGGCTATGTCTACCTTGACAGCTGAATTATTCCATCAGCCTGATACTCTTCTCAAGGCGTTTTTGCTTGAGAACTTCTGAATTCCTCGGAATCCACTGTTTGTGCAGCAGGGCCAGATTATCCTGAATTTGATGTCTACGAAAAACTTTAAGGGCCTACCAGAATACCGTACTGTGCCATAAAACACACCTTCAAAGAGGCTCATGTACACAGCAGATATTTGTTAGAAATCGGAGCCTCTCTCTTTCTCTCTCTGAACTGTTGAATGTTGGGAAACGTAAACCAGCTGGTGCACATACCTGAAGACAGCTTAATATATCAACATAAAGTACGAGGCTCTAATACCAGTGCTGTGAAATTGCTCCTGGTGCTTAGAGCCAAGAAAGCACTTAATCTGGCTATACTGTTAAGAATCCTCTGAACATATTCTCTGTGCTTGGCACTTCTGAGGGGCATCAAGCCCCACGTAAAGTTTTTACTGGCTTGTTTCTGCCTTTCTCAATCCTACCAATTCCATCAAATCCCCTCTGGTGGATGTTGAAGGAACTGGAAGGGTTGGGGTAATGATATGGAATGATTTGACCTCAGCAAGTGTTGGAGATTTCTCATTCATTGAAAGGAAAAAAAAATGATCAGTATTTACGTCGCAACTTACAGAAAGATTAAAATCCTTTAGCATTGAAAGGGAACTGTATATAAATCCTATATGTCTGTATTATATTTAAGGATGGTGTTTATCATGATCAAATGTAATAATCTAGTACTTACAAGGAGAGAAATGTGCTCCCAAGTATTAGTGATAATGACATACACTTGGCCTTCCACCTTCTGGTGCATGGTATCTAGCCAGAGCACACTGCACCTCATCCAGTTTAGATCCCATCCACTTGGAGCATCAGCTCGCATGTGCTTTACAACTTGCAGATACATGTATGTGATTATACAGTGTTCATGTTCTGATTGCTGCTCACTCAAAACTCACAGCAGTTTCCACTCGTGGTGCTCGGGCAGGATATTTCTATAAGAAGAATTCTTTGAGGATTTTGCTTTTTCATGCGGGGTGTCAGTTAATTCGCGTATGCTTGGAATTCTGTACGCACTACATGCATGTATTATATCAATGGTGGTGTTTGTGCTATGGTTTGTAATAGCTCTGTGTTAAATAGCTCTGACAAATGCACATTCTTGATCTTTTTACCCTTAACCAAAATTGCGTTGATAATTGTACTATGCCCCATATCTAATCACTAAACTGGCATGCTGGTTTACATATAAACTGTATAGTATTTCAAGTTTTAAGTTCGGTATGTTGGGTAAGTAATAGTGATTAATTTATGGCAGTCATTTTTGGCAGGTCAGCTTACCTCATGTAACGTTTGGTTCATCCACAAAATTAAGACTGGATTGAATATTAAGTCAGATGGAATTAGGACGATAAATAGTACAAACTCTGGCTGTATCAAGCAAACTGTTAAAATCTTTTTTTTTCTGTTTCCCAACTTGGAAATCGTTCAAATCCACTTTCAGATCAGGTGAATATAATCTAACCTTACAGGCACTCAGTTGCAATGATTGCTGTTTGAATTTATAGTCCTTTTTAAAAGGAAGACGATTGTTTTCATTTTTAACTATCACATATCAGAAAGAGGCTGTGATCTCATTAAATATTTTAAAGAAACAAATTAATCCATAATAAGGCCTGAATCATTGTTGTCTTGAAATCTATTGTACAGTAGGTCTCAATATTTATTATTTTCTTGTTTTGTTTGAATCACAGATACTGGTGTACATGCATCTGGTAATATTTCAGTTGAATATTATATAAAGAAAAAGACAAAGCCCAGTTTTATCCAAGTTAATTACATGTATTGGTTTATGTAGGAAAATTATGTTTGCCAATTTTTTTTTGTGTATAAAGTGATTAATTTTGATGTAAACATTTCCTAAATGCGATTATCGTCCTTTTAATAGGTCTGTATATTCTCCTTGTATACCACCAGGTCAGCTCAGCGCTCCGGGTTTAAGTCACAAATAGACAGATATGAGAATCAGTAAATTCAAGGCACGGTTGTATATCCTAAAATTGAGGTCGTTTGGTAGTGCTTTACAAAGAGGTGACAGAAAGGACACCTGTTTTATTCATTATTTATTTTTTCCATTATAGTTATATCTTTTTTTGGCTGCTGGGATGCCATTTTAAATTGTTGTGTCAATTTAATAACAGACTTGGATCGTATGTGATGAGAAGGCAAACTCAGTGAAAAACCACTTTTGTCAGATTTCAACTTGATTCAGATACCTACCATGTCGCGCTGAATCCTTATTTTGCAAATCTGTGGCTCTGTTTAAGTGAGAGTGGCATACCAGCGTAGACAACGCCATGTATGTCATCACCAGTGGAATGGTTTCAGCTTTTCTCGTTCAATGGCGCTTAAACTGCAACAGTCTGTCTGTTGTGCCATCTATGTCATTTAATCTATTTACAGCATTTTCTGGTTGTGAATTTTTCTGGCGTCGTTGAGTACAAAATATCCGGCTCGTAAGTGACTTCGTCAAACACGCGGACGCGCCACAATTTGCAGGCTCACATTAGATGATCGCTGCAGTTGCGCGTTAACTTCCGGTTCCATAGTTCCATGTAAACGGCGATCAATGCTTACATGGAGGACTAAAAACACATCCCTCCATGATGAACGTAACTCTGTGTGAAGTGCATGTGCAGTGGGCGTGGTTTAAATGGAAGTGACGTCACACTTACGAACCGGATTGCCTATCTTCCACAACTACTGAAACGTCAGACTACCTAAAAGTGTCAAGGGTTGTGTTGGTTTGTTGCAGTAAATTTGTGCTGCAGACATTATTGGTATTAATTGGAGGGAAAAAAACACTCATTTGAACATTTTAGTAAAAGATTTCCAGCCTGTTAACCCAATGGTGTATGATTATATAGGTAAGTGAAGATTGCAGTTTGGTAAAAATAATTAAAACCATTTCACTGGCCATTGAAAATGCTTTGAAAATGTCAATTTTCTGACATATTTGTTTCTTGTGATTGTTAGGTTCTTCAGTTGCACCATATAAGGCATGTGCTGGCCATGAATATACAAAATACAGATGGAAATGTATTGTGCTTTGGAGGTATGTTTCTAATTATTGTAAATTGACCTGAAAGGTACTGTGCCACTACCAAACTCCAATATTAGAGGGATCTAGCAAACTTAGCTTAGCGTAGGCAACAGTCATGTGTTAATGCATTATAGATTATCATACCATTTTTGTAGCAAAAATTGCCAGACATACACTAAATAAAAACGAAACTTGAAAAATTGACTAACAGTGTCGCGTTACTCTGGTAATTGCTCGGCTTTTCTGCGGTCTTGAAAACTGAAGTGTCAAGTCTTTGGGTAATGGAAACCCTAGGTTATTAAAGTTAAAGAAAAAAAAGTGATTATCAGCGTCCGACCCACATCCTTTCCAGATGCCCCTGGGAGTTTGTTGGCTGCCAAAGATTGCTGAAAACAACTCCGCTTGGTTTATTATTTAATTTCAAAGTCCTCCTAAAAGTAAATTTGTCTCATTGAAATAGATGTGTTCTCATTTATCACTCGGTAGTACGTGTATTATTATCTGGTGTTCTGATAGCTACATTGGATTTTGACGCTTTCTGAACTTTCTGTTACTTTTGTTTTTTACGGCAACCCCTAGTTTTAGCAGCCACTTGTAGGAAAAACAACTGTGACACGAACGGAGCAGACGCTATATACCACTCGAAATAATAATTATTTCACAGTTCACTTGTCTTATCCAACTTGTCTCTCCTTTTTGTTTTTGAAAAGTGGAAACACTTCTTGTCGGTAATTCAAAACGTGAGGCGACCATCGTACAAGAAATAAAACGAGAAAAGAACCAGGAACTTTTTTTTTACCGGCTGGGGCGCTTCGTCTCCTCCTTTGATTCCACTAGATTTTACCCTTGACTTTTGAGATGGCACTGGCACTGGTAGTGGTAGGTCAGTAATAAGTCAAACACTACCAATAAAACGTCAAACTATATATGCCAGCGACAGCCAATCTTTTTGTTTAATGTATTAGTGTTTAATTTGAAAAGTGGGTGCCCCCAGCGCTCCCCAAACAGCCCTTAGATGCTATGGGCCATACGCGGTGCACATCAAATTTTAATTGGGCGAGAAGGGCGCACGATGGTCTGCTACCGAAGTTCCCGAAACAATTAACCCAAGAGAAGCAACTGAACCAAGTTTGGGTCGTGACCGCCAAACACCCTCTGTTCCACAATCTTCAGTCAAAATCATGCATGATTTGGTTCTTGAAACGCAACACTAGGACACACGTGTTGGTGTCTGTTTGTGTTGATCCGTCGTTTGGATAATTATATTATAGTGCCAGTAAACTTCAATAAACATTCCTTATGTTACGCCTAACTACTCATAGTCCTATGTTTCATGATATTTGAAATGTATCTTACAAACGTAATTTTCGACGGTTTTGAAATCAGCAATTTGTCTCAAAGTTATTCGGGGTGGCGGATAGATGTGCAAACAAAGTAAATCAACACCCTGTTGTTTTCTGCACAACGCAGGCGTCTTCGCCTGGTCCAAGCTGCGCTTTATTCCTACATGAATGGCCAGTGAGTTTTTACGCACCCCACAAACTATCGCTTTCACATTTTGGCGCATTACCTGGCGAAGTCTCTGCATAATTCCGTAAACGACAGTCGAGCATTGTGCATGATATATTAAAGTTTAGCCTACGTTCTTGTTTCAAGAACTCAAGATTTACTTTCAAGATTACTTTCGGTATTACTTTTTTATTCAGGGAAGTGTCGGGCAAAGCTTTCACGATGAAAGGGTGGGTAATTTCAAGTGCTTTTATTTTTTCAAAATTAAATAATAAAATAAAAACAAATCTCTGTACACTTACAAACCGAACATTGGTATTTGCAAAATTATAAAAAGGTTAGATTTATCTAATGTACAATCGGCTGAACTGAAAAGAGAGTGAAAAATGTATAAAAATGGCCTTTCATACACGTCTTGACACTTGAGTACAATGAAGGATTACAGTTTTTAGAGCTCAAGCTTTTAAAATCACAAGACACGCCAATCATATTCTGCACTTCATATCAATTTCGTTGTACAAGGAGACCCTCGTCAAGGCACTTGAAGACTCCAAACCTGGCTCAATTATTTTTTTGTTATCATGAAATCAATGAGAACCAAAGTGCAGAGAAATACATGATTATTTCTGCTTTTCATGTTGTCATTGGGCATTATTTGGAAGGAAAGGGAGAATCTGCCAAAGTCTGGTGACAGTGTTTGGACCTGTATGGATATGGATTGGTCAATGGTCGCCAGGCCCATATAGCGACTCAAAGATCTACAACCCATTGTCCATGGGCATACAGGTGGGGTTTTGCTTGTATAGTCCTGCGTTCTCCAGCACGCCCCAGGGAGCACAGATCCAGGGGTCGTTGGTGACGTTCTGCCAGCGGAGCACCTGCTCCCGGAGGTCGCGCAAGACAGACGCGAACCTCTTGTCCTTAGCTAGGTTAGTGGTCTCCAGCGGATCGGCGCGGTGGTCAAACAGCTCCCACTGAGGGCGGTAGTAGTAGTCCTTCAGGGTTTTGAACCAGTGAGTGGGCTCTCCAGACCTTGTTCGGCTGAGTAGATCCTTTTTCGACAAAAACAATAGAGAGTGTAAACACAAACATATCATGAGTGTCAGTCACAGTTCATGAGGTACAGTCTCCAACCAATAAAATTTACCCTGTTTACCACGTTAACGTTGCTCTAAACTTTCTTTGAAATCAATCAGATTTGTTAAAGCTTTGCGGCATCAACGGAGGTCGGGTCGGTTAATTTAAGGAAGTTGCCCCAACAGCAACTTTCAATTAGCATAACCTGAGTAATTACACATCCAATGTTTTCATACCTCTGTCTTAAATACTGATTTTTTTTTTACTGACCCAGAATGATCGCGTGACAGGGCAGCATAAACACATGTCACACTCACCATTAGACATCGCAATGTCATCAGCCTGCACTGTATGGTATCACTCACGAGCATACACACGCGCCCCTGCAGTGTACAGGGTTATATATGCAGCAACCGCTAAACGTAAATGATGTTCAAAGGTTCCTTTGTTGCCCCTAGATTCCCTCGGAAGAACGCGGAGGCGCACTATTGTGAAATGCCCGTATTGCAGTTCTCAATACTGGGGGCCATGCATAATTTATACAGGAGAACCAAGTACACAAACGACTAGAAAATTTACGCAGTCCATCCAGATCTGTAAATAGCAATGTACTATCACTCTTGGGTTTTGCGCATTTTGCAGTCGTACACAACATGACCGGTAAAATCATCAGTTGAAAGGTGTCCACATTTTAATGCAGCGCTGTCGGAACTGCACAGGTTGAATGGCGTGGTGGGTTTAATTAGGTCAAGTTGGAGCTCAATCCGGTACTCATCCAGCCACCACATACAGTCAGCCCCATTCCGTCTCACTTTGTACTTTCATTGAAGTCTGCTCAACTTTAATGGGCTAACCGGAAATTTTCCAAGTGAAAGCTTTTTTTAGGCGGGGCCATATAATGTATCCACGACTTCTTGGCTTTACTAAAGAACAGAATGAAAGATATTCGGAGAGGGCAAAAGTGGAAATGGGGCGAAGTGGCGATGGGGCGAAGTGGTTAGCGGCAAAGTGACTGACACCCGTTGCGCGCCCCAAGGTACATGTACATGGGGATAATTCAGTGCCTGAGCCCACACATACGTGTGTGCAAGGTCGAAGATCCGTACACTTTTTAACTGTGTTTCCGGCCATGCCACAGTCATACGTTAACGCGTAACTCACAAATGCAGACATATCAAAAGTACGAAAATCACGGCACAGATACAAACCATTCACAATGTCAAAACTGGCGCAAGGCCGGAGTATTCGACGGGCCCTGTTTACTGGTCAATTGGGGAGTATACAGTCCACAGTGACCAAGTGGATGGAGTTTCGCAGTGCTTATGCACGTACCTTCTGAATCAATTTGGCGGCAGTTTTTGATCGGCGTCTCCAACACTTCTGGGCTGTGTAATTTGGCCAATGTTGGATTTTAATGGGCAACAAGGGCACAGAGGCTAGGCACGATGGTTGGGGCAGCCACAGCAACTTGCTTTCGACATTGTCGGCAACCAGTGGGGAGGGAAAGTGCGGTGGTTGCCATGGTTAAATTCGAGCCCCATGAGTCCAGTGGTTAAACCATGAAGGAAGGAGAATGTGGTATTTCCCTTCCTCCATGGTTAAACCAACTGGTGTGGGCTTTTGTCCTATGTACAGTACATATAAAAATGCAATATAAAATGGGTCGTCAGCAATGGTTTTTCAGGCAACAGAGTCACAAAAACCTTTTGTTGTAACAGGAATTCCGTACAATGCGGTTTCATTTAACAGATTTTCTCCCCATAGAAATGTGCACATTTTCGCCGGGACCACAGATGGTTGTATAACCGGAACTTCGTTATAGCCATTTTTGTAATAACGAGAGTCGATTGTATATACAATCATGGAGGAAGGAATGTGTTCCTTCCTTCATGAGATATTGTAAGAATTTAAATGAAAAACTGAGGTTTCGGGTATGTTTGGAAGTGATACAACTTGGGTCATTCAAGTTAATATATTACATCACGTATTCTGGCCAAACAAAGTGTGGGTGCTCTGCCAACAGTTTAGCAGTTCTTCCAATAGAGTACATGTGTAGAGCACTATGGGACCATTTCACCCCATCAAGAGGGTCCCTGTTTCCCCACACTTGGGATAAAAATGGACCAGTGATGTAAAATTCTTAAATTGCTGGTTTGATTTGTTTCTTTAACACCTGAAATACTCATCGGTACCTTCCCTAAGTTTTTGAAGTGGGGATATTTATCACCATTGTCTGTGGCAGCACACTGGTCTGAAACCTTGCGTGCTCTGTACTCACGAACCTAGACCCCGACAAAGTACTGAACCCGTGACCGTATAGTTGCCAGGTCCCTAATTTTGCCACCCATTGTCAAGTCTGACTGATTGTTACACAAAGTGGCAAAATAAGTGACCTGGCGATTGTAAGGTCACAGACGTTACTTTATCCCCTACAAAAGTGCCCTCCCACTGTGTCTGCCTTACTTCAAAATGAGACACCAGAGATCTCCGCTCTGCAGTTTTACCAACTTGAGTTTCACTTAACCCTAACCCTCCTCAATCCTTCACCTGTTAGAGGACTGAGGAGGGTTAGGGTTAATATGAACCCGGACCAGTGTACTATTTTTCACTCTTGTCATTCCATTTTGCCCTAAAATGTTTAAAACCTATAGCACTCTGAAATAAAAATGGCAAGGCACATCTCACCTGAAATGTGGACGAGATGTAGAAATCCTGGTCAATGTTGAAGGGCGCCAGATTGTTCATGTTGTGGATCAGCTTGTACTGGCGATTGCGCACCACGCGCATCGGGTAGTACATGGTGACCTCGTGCAGGTTGTGGCTGGCATAGACCGTGTCCCACTCCGTTACGGGCTCTTGGGCTAGGATCGGGAGGAGGGACCGGCCAGTCGGTCGCACGGGCTGCCTGTTGAGATGGTAGTCCGGGTATGAGATGCCGAACCAGTCCAGGATAGTTGGCACGAGGTCCAACGTGGAGACCAGGGCCTCGCTCTCCTGCCCCCAACGCTCCCGGTGGAGTGGGGAAGACACCAGCAGGGGCTCGGCCATGCCTGAGTCGTAGAGGTTTGTCCGGCCGTTGGGGAAGGGAATTCCGTTATCGGAGGTGTAGAAGACCAAGGTGTCATCCTTGTGGCCCGCTGACTCTAGCTCCTTCAGGATCAAACCGATACCTAAAAAAAAACCCCAGAACATTCCAGCAGTCCAAACTATGCACAAAAATGGCCAGAAATCATCCACCTTGAATCTGTTGTTTATCAAAGTCATGCGTTACCAATTTACCAAGGAAGACGTTAAAACGTGACAGTTCTGTATGCTGCTTGAGTGATTCCTATTGTGCTTATACACACAGATGCTTGCACAGCAGTTGTCATATAAAAAGTCTGGTCTTACACTGCCCTTAATATGCGTTCATAGGTCACTGACCCAAATACAACGGTAATACAAAGGCTGGCTAACCATTGTGAACCAAAAAGCCTACGGTTACTTTTTGATAAGATGGCTGTCGGTGGCTCCAATCAATACATGAGCAATGCAAGCCCAAACTTGTTTGACATCCATGGCTTGTACTAATCCATGGCTGAGGGGCGCAGCCAGGTGTTGTAGCGAATATTGCTCCGCCAAATTAAATGTATCTTGGAGTGTTAAAAAAAGCAATGATGCATACGAAATGTCTCATAAATCTTGGAAAAATGACTACCGAGGGTCAGTATTTGTCAAGTCCAAATTTGCAAAGGACTGTGGTTTGAAAAGTCGGTAGTTTCAGCTAAACTTAACACTGCCCTCGGGACAGGTCCATTTTGCAAAAAAACTGTCTGCAGGAAGTCCTTGTGCCATTGGCTCTAGCACAGACTTTTTTTTTTTCCACATTACCTTGATCAAGTCTGCTTATTGTCGTGTACTGAGCTGCCAGGTCCCCTCTCGCGGCTGGCGTGTCTTGTACGAAGCCGGGCACAATGACCTCGCCTGGGTCATAGGTTGTGGGCTCCCAATCGGGAATCCGGCCCATTCCCGGAGCGCCGTTGCCAAACTTTTCACAGAACTGGCCGTACTGGGGATGGGTGTGGCCACAGCGGTGCGGATCGTGGAAACCGATGTAGAGGAAAAAGGGACTGGAGGAAAACGGAACCATCCGCTAAGAACCTCGGTGCACCAAACCATAGCCCCCCCACCTCTGCACATTTCCCCTCTTCCAACATACTGCCCTCCCAAGGGCACTGCGAGGGGGAGACGGGAGGTGCTAAATATAAGAGTGACTTAAATGAGCAAAACTCACCCTGAATCGTTACTACTCAGGAACTCATGAGCAAACTGCTTCATGTGCGTGATGTTCCGTCCGACTTGCAGGATTGAGAAGCCGTCGAGCTCAGTCTTGGAGTAGTCAAACTGGTAGACAGACTCTGGCCCGACGTGCTTCTTGCCGATAATGCCTGCACAAGAAAGGTGTGATATAATAAGCACTTCAAGATTGTTGACTTGTCTTTTGATAGCAAAGCTTGCTTTTATAGTGATGGCAAAACGGAATGGTTTCAATTTTGAAGCACTAGACTACAACACAGGTCCACCTTTTTGAAAAGTCACTTGCTGGCGTGGCAATAGATACTGCACAAGTTGGCATAGTGAGCTGTCTATTTCTACTGACACAATACACCTGTACAAAGCTGTCAAATCTGTGACCCAGGCTGCCAAAATATTTGAACTGTTTCATTGATTATATACCGTAAAGATACTGACACACGGACAACGTGTGATAAAATGTACAAATGAGCATAACAAAATACTTCACTGATTGGGTCAAAACTGAATAAAGAATGGATCTCTATAAAGGAATGCCTCAGACATCCTCAAAATGCCTCGGAAAGGTTCCTGTTCCCCCCTGGACAGATCCTTATGGAAGACTTGTAAGTTCTTTTTGGAAACAGGCCGATCCACGAAGCCCCACCCCACTGTTTTCTGACCAATCACAGCCATGCTTTCTGACATGTGTACACGGATGCATGATGTGTGCGGCTAGAACTTCTAGTGTAGCAATGGAGAAGAGCATGTGATAAGTGCCCACATGCGTGCAGTGGGTGGGGCTTACTGAATCGGTCTATAAGCCATGTTCCTCATGAGAACAAGCCGCCCCTAATGTTCCCATTAGTAACATGCCTTTATCCATTTAGGAACATCTGGTGATCTCAGTTATATAACCAACGTTCTTGAAGGAACATTCCGTAAGGTTCCAACTCTTGAGACACTCTCTAAAAATAAGAATCCAACATGGTCAACATAGATTTTGGGCGGGGCTGACACAATCCGCCCCGAGCTGTAGTGCACCCCCAATCGGCAAAAAGAATGACAGGTGGTTACAAGCGGGTTCTTGCACGCATTCTGTATGTACGCAAAGACCATACATGCCAGAATAAATTAGTTACGCGTACTCAGCATCAAACGCACATATACGTTTACGGCTCATGGCACACCTATGCGGTGAGTACTAAAAATATGCCCTCTTTTGTTCCGCTCGAAGCGGATACGGAGGCACTATTCAAAGCAGGTAAATTTGAGCCAGTATATAAGAGTTTCACCCAAGACCCAAATATTGTGTCTGTCTTACTCTTGACAGTTTAACACGGTACCTGTTCTTATTCCGCTCTGCTTGAGGATGGTTGGTAGGCTGCGCACACCAGCAAACGACACAAAGTGGTGCACCGAGTTTTCCAGGCCATACATGCCATTCTGGTGCTGAGGAAGGCCTGTCAGGATGGCCGAGCGGCTGGGCGAGCAGCTGCTGACCGACGTGAAGGCATGGCGGAAGATCACACTGCGTCCGGCCAGCACATCCAGGTGTGGCGTCTTGCAGACGGTGTTGTTGTAGGCTTGGGTCTCAAAGCCGGCATCGTCTCCTGGGTAATGGAGAAAAAGAAATAGGTGGAACTCACTTCTGATTGTTCAGCCCTCCGCAGGTAGCCTGATCAGAGGGTTCTCGGGAGAAAGACAGTTTAGTATTTGTACTCCCGAGTAGCATTATATTTGAGTCCATCACAAGTCCAGTCACTGCGTTGAGATTAAAAGAAAAGAAACACAGTATGTGAACAATGACTTGATTCCAAGAAGAAATGAGCAGAGGAGAGGGAGTGCAAACTCAGTGGAATAACACAAAAACATGTAAAAACCTTCAAAAACTGGTAACAGGGTAACAGCCTAGTTCTGGCAACTTCATTTAATTGAGCTCTTTTAGTTTTAATTCGGTTGGATAACTAAAGTTGCAATGTCCAGTTTTGTCGACATGGTTAGGCGCGTTGGGCAGGTCGGGGCAGTTGACATGGTTAGGCCATAACAGCCTAGTGCCCTAGCATGCTTTGTTCTAGGCATTCCTATTTAATAAGCCTATTTGCTGTTATCAGTTAGCAAGGTTAGGCCTAGCCCTATGCCTTATCAAAGTTCCAAACTTTCTAGCAAGGTGCCCGTGCATTCAATGATGAGGAGCAGATTTGTATGGTGGGCCTAACCTAACAAATGGCAATATTACCAATAAATAAAGCCAATAATGTAAACGTGCACTCCACCATGAATACAGGCAATTCACAATAGTGCACCTCCGAGTCCAAGAGTTTGCAACATGTGTAACACGTTGGCCAATCACAATGTGCAAAAATCTGTCGAGCCAGTGGGCATTTGGAAAGGGTCAAAAGATTTCGCGCATTGTGATTCGCCAACACATTGCATGCATGCATTGGATGTGCACTATTGTGAATCGCACGTATTCTCTGACATGCATTCTCTGGTTCCACCACCACTCCATCCCACTCACCTACTTTGAGAACTCGAAGTCACTTACTCTGTGATACTCCGTGTGACTTCGAGGAAACAAGGTTTACATAGCATCATAACACTATGGGGTTTGGAATCGAATTTTTGCAGCGAAATGGTTTGCAGCCCTAGGAAAGCTATTATACCTGTTAAAAAGGGGATAACAATAGTTTCAGATGTCAAGACATCTAAACTGCTGCCAAAGTTTTGGACGAGCCCGTTGGTATATGTATCTTATCGCTCAGTCCGTTTATTACATATGTCTTGACATGGAATAGCCGTCGAGACGATGAGGGGTCAAATGAAGTAATGTTCAACGACTTTATTTTAAAGATGGCGATTGTGAGAGCCAGCCCGTGAGAGTGAATGGATAAAGGCAAAAAGACTCGAAAATACCTGAATAACATGAGTGAAATCATTCAATAAATGGTTTTTAGAAAGCGGAAGGTCAAGAATCATGTTCGTGTGCAGAAGAAATTGCGCCCACGATGATAAGTGGGTGCGTCGAAGTGTTCAATACGTCGACACGAAATTGCGTATACCGATGTGTGGCTAAGGATGGACTGGGAGTGAGAGTCTGTGCCACACTAGTGGGGCTAAGCCCTATGCTGACAGGGAAAGCTTTCTAATCTTAGGGCTGTAATCTTTTTGTTTAAACCATTTCACCAGAAAAATTCAATTCCAAAACCTCATGGCGTTACGACGCCGTGTAAACCTTGTTTCCTCGAAGTCACACGGAGTATCACCTGATCACCATGATCACGGAGTTAGTGATTTCGAGTTACCGAAGTGGGCCTATACCACTCACCCAGACAAGGCAAGGGTTGCCCCGCCGTGCCAGGAACACGCAAAATCAGAGACACAATTTTGTATCCTTGAGATCACTCGAAACGAAACTCTATGACGTTTTGTCCTCACCAACAAAAAGAAGAACGTTTTTCTTGAGCTGTGACTGAACACCGGTAACGTAAAGGAACAGCGTAACTATAGCAGAGCAGAAGACACATCCTTTTCCAACGACCGCCATCTTTTATGGTTTTCTTTGCCAACAGAGGGCGCGCTCACTAGCTCTCTGCGCTCGGCCTATACCTACGCCACAGACAAATGTTTGTCGCCTACGCCATCTGAGTACCATTATGCGTATTTTTTTTCCTTGGAAGGCTTGGGTTAATTATAAAAAAACCGGGCGTATCTTAATAACCGTTACGCATGCGTTTTTCATTTGGGGGCAATTATCATAAATAGGGTACAAAAACTTTTAAGTATGGCACACAACAAAACTGCTTTTCTGACCGACTTGCATCGAAGCTCTGTTAAGAGAGAGTTACACTTAGAACCAACAAGCCGAGGGTTCGAGTCTATAATTTAGTAATTTCGTTAATTCTTGGTGGGGAATTAGTTGGTTGGAAGGTATTTTTATAGTAGGAAAGTAAAGTAAAGCCCAATATTTACCTTAGCACTTAAGCTCCTACGTGTCCACTAAACTGATAAAGCTTGCAGTTAACCACGCCCATAGATACTAATATAAGCCACTTGCGAGTCAATTTAAATAAAATCTGGTACTCTGTGTTATCTCATTGCAAAGAAACGTAAAAATTTGAATTCCCCAGACTAAAGATAATGTTGCTATATCTCGTGATTCAGGGCAAGCTTTTGCATAGCGACCACCATCTCTGGAATGGACTGGTTCTTTTGTGCAGTTCTAATCCATTGAGAACAGAGTATTGTTGCAAGGCGTCAATTATGCAACTAAGCAAAAGCTTGCCCCGAATCATGAGGTATCCGGTTCGTATATGACTTCGTCACAAAGGCAGGCGCGTAACGATTCGCCGAATGCTCCCATAGAGGAAATTCACATTAGCGCCGTCTGCGCATATCTGCATCGAAATCGAGGCTCTCTGAACTTCGTCGCGCGCGCGCGCGCGGAGTCCACACACAGTTTAAACTATGCCCACTGCACATGCAGATACACAACCATCGCAGGCTTGCTTTTAGTTCGCGGCCGGTAAATTGCCGATGTTTTTCTTTTGATTTTACGTGTCGAGTCATACTAAAAGACCCTTCCACAAAGCATGAAAATTATAAATTTAATATACCTTTATGTATTTTGTGTCTTGACCCCTTACTTTCAACCGTCTGATCATATTAAGAACTGAAGCTGACACATACAGCCTCGTTTTCAAACGCGGAAGTGCGCAGATCGACACTAAAAGCGTCGTATTGAGATCCCTTTATTAGACGATCGCTGAAGTTGCGCGTTAACTTCCGGTTCAGTGGTTCCATGTAAACCACAGATCGTATTGTGCCGCGTAGCGGCGCAAGATGGCGAACTTCACCGTGAATAATGCACGTAAAACATTGCAATCGCATATGCGCCATTAAGCAAGCGATACGCCTGCGCAATGCATATTGCGCACTGGCGCAGGCGCCGCGGCAGGCACGTGCACCTGGTGAGCCTGCGCGTAAGCATTACCGTAAACTGCGTAGGCATATCGCTTGCTCAAATGGCGCCTACGGTAAATACACCTTTTGGGCAGAGTTATCCATCTTGCGTCTTCGGCGCTATACGATTTTTGATGTAAACGGCGATCAATGCACGTAACTCTATGATTGCACTACGCGCCCATAGAAAACAGTGCAAAATCGGATCGAAATAGCGCCTCCTGTTGACTCTCGTGAAGCGGTTGGCCCCCGTTTTTTCACTGGAAATTCAAGATTAGGCTATGGCCAAAAGATCACTTTCGTTTCAATTTCATGGGGGGTAGCCACAAAAAAAAATTTATTCGCCTTTCAAGGAAGATACCCACAAAACAGCAGTTCAACTAAGCGCCTATTTCTGAATGTAGCCGCCCGCCTCTATCCAAAATAGGCCCGTAATTTGGGGCTTTTTGTGAGAGAAATACCCCGAAGTAGAAACTATCAGTTCCAAATTGGGGATTAATACAAATATTTCTATGATCCCTCCTGATTGTGGTCAGTCTTATTGGAAAAATTCCCGTGGGATTAATGAGCTCGCGTGCAGAAATACAACCATTCGGTGAAATGCACCGCTATGTGCAGTGGGCGTTGTTTAAAATGAAGTGACGTCACACTTACGAATCGGATAGTAACGGTGGTTTAGCATAGAGGAAGGACACAGAAGGAGTTGCAACTCAGGCACTTCAAAGTGTTCAATGATGGTCGCCGCCGAGTCTGACGAATAATAAAAACCATTCCAAAAATGCCTGATTACTGCCTGCATCTTAGTCGGACATGCGGGGTCAGTAATATCCTAGCAATACTTGTAGTTTATTGTTGGCAATAAAATACAAATTATCGATGTGACCAGGAAATAGAGAGAGAAAAATTCCTGATATTAGACCTACTTTGGCCATCGTAAATAAACTTTTTAAAATTTCGATACAACAAAATGCGCTATTTCATCATAGGGAGTGATCGTGAAATCTCAATACGAGATCGTCAGAATCCACAACGATGGGATCCAGCTTAATATTTTTGTTTGGAGATATTCATACACGCTGCCTACTCTTTTGAAAGCCAGCTCTTTTCCCAGGAGATTAGGTGCCACCTTGTCCAGCTGAAGCTCCCTTTGATTCTCCTTGAGCACCCGAATGGCTACGATCTCTGGCAATTTCCTCTTAAAGGACTGAAACACCTTCACTGGGTCCCGGATAAGAAAAATGTGGCGATAACCCTCAGGGAGATACTCAAACTTGCCGTCGATGCAGTAAGCCATCTCCTTGGCAAAGACGAACCTCTTACCTGGGTAGTCGGCTTCCATTTGATTCTTCATCCATGGGTAGGTGCTCTTTCCCTCATCGTAGTCGGAGTTTTCAGGCTCTGCGAGAGCATCGTGCATTTCTTCTGCAAGGGAACCTGACCGCAGAGATGCAAACTCGTCAAGACTGGCCCGATACGCCAACGAGTAGAGCTGGAAGGTTTTGCAGTCACTTCGCCCAGCAATATTTGCGTTTCACAGTAAACGTTTAGCCTACATACAACTTTAGACGGCGCGCGACAGCAGGCCCGTCTTGTTTCTGCGTCAGAAGTATATAGACTATATTAATTAATAGCTACATGTAGCCGAGGCCATTTAGTTTTGTTTGCTACAAGGACCAAATTCCTCGCATTCCCATTCTCTCTACCTTTGTGTTTTAACTTTTGTTGAGCACTGGACCATTACCCATAAAAGCGCGTGTCTCCGCATACGTCTTCACTTACCAATGAGGCACGGGTTCGAGTCCTGGCTTGGCCCAGGCTTTAAGTGCATTTGGTTTCCAGTCCATACTCGCTCTCGCAGGTTTTCTCCGGGTACTCCGGTTTCCTCCTGCCTCTAAAACTGGACCTTCTTCCTTACTCCGTAATATGATGCAGATTAATAAAGTGTATGAATAAACGCACAGTTATTGGCGTAAATAGCCCGAGTTGCTGGAAGCGCCATTAAAACAACAACAACTACGTCTTCACTTCAGGCTCATGCACTCGCTGAATACTCGTCGCTTCAATTCATGTGTGGCATAATTTCCACCCCCCCCAATTTAGCTTTGTGTGGTATTCTTTTTTCTTACAGGCTTGTCGAGCTTCAACCGCGGCAACCCGGGCCATTGGTCCAGATTCTGTCCATTCAAGTACTCGAATGCTGCACGATACGAAAGGTGGATCCAGGTTCAGATATCAACCCTTCGCTACTCCTGCCAGAGACATCCGATCCCAGGTCAATTTGCACTGCCCTTCCGCTCTTTACTCCTTCTATCGCCGCTGCAACCTCAGAACTCGGCAAAGAACCTCAAGCATCATCCAAGTCCTAGCTCTGTCGCTGACAGATTTTCCAACATAATACAGGTACATTGTGATCGCTGTCCTGATTTAAATTCAAACACTGTCAACGTCAAAGGTAGACTCAAGTTGCATTCTGAATTTCGGGTCAGTATTGGTGCACCTGATATGATTCTGTCCATTATAAGGGATGGCCTCATGTTATGGTTTTCAGAAGAATTTCCCTCTTATTTCCTCCCAAATAACACTTGTTGTAAAGCCACCATGTCTTGGTCGCCCGTATTGTTTGTAAATTTTCTTGGCTATTAAATTCATTTGAATATTCAGGACGTAGTGCATGAAGTCCCGTATTCCGATGTTGTCTCAAAAAATGACTGAAATGCTAATCTCTTGTCTCCTCCTTTAGAGTTGGCGTAAAACACGAAATGAGACGCCTGTTTTAAGAACCCTGTAAAAACAATATGAGATGAAACATGTATAGTTGAACCCCATTAATTAGAGTACTCTTCATACATACTAAAACAAATTATTTAGGTCCCATTTTTTTATCCTTAATTGTTTTTATTCCTGATAACACGGGGTTCCTGATCCTTAAAAGGTAATTTCTAAGGCCCCAAGACCTGTGATAAATGAGGTTCATCTGTCGTATGTGATTTATTTCTCTTTTATAGGCACTGTTCTCGACCTGTTTCCAAATGCCAATCCATGTGAGGTGATAGCCAAAATGGCACAAAAGGGCAAGGACCTGCGAGTTTCTCAAACACAAATAGTGGCCGCGAAGGACAGTTAAAGTGGAGAACCCTGACATTTAATTCATTTGTTAAAAAAGTTTTTACATATTGTAAAGTTTTAAATAAACAGACGCATATCAGAAGATCACACATTGATATTCTTTTAAGAGTATGCTAACAGTTTCTTTATTCACTTCTTCTTTTGGTAGTCTCTTCTAAGAAAGGCCTTTTTTAGGTGTCTGTGCATAGAAAACTACACATACACAGCCACATTCCAAGCTTCAAAAACTACACAGCTACATCATCATTTAAGTTTCTTATATTACAGTGTAGTCGAAACATTGCTGTAAACTAAACATCACTACAGTGTACAACTTGTACTCAAATCGGCTTTTCGCATGGTATTGAATTTCTTAGCCGGGTCCACTGCACTTAAATTTCTGTATTACAAGAAAACTTTCGAAAAGTTCCGATCTATGCATAATAAATTTCATTTGAACAGTGGCACTGTACAAACTTTCTGTTATGCATTCGTTTTGTTTTACTGTGATCTCTATGTGGTCACACTGTGCGGACACTGTGATCTCTGTATGGTCACACTGTGTGGACACTGAACTTTATATGGTCACACTGTGTGGACACTGATCTGTCTATGATTACACTGTGATTTCACACAGTGATTTCTATATATTTACACTGTGTGAACACTGTGATCTCTGTATGGTCACACTGTGGACGCTGTGATTTCAGTATAGTCACACTGTGACCACTATGGGGTTACACTATGGCTTTGTTCCAAATTTACAGTGTCACATGCAGAGAACACAGCGTGGTTTAACTGAGTGTTACGAACAGTATGTACACTATATGAACACACTGTGTTCACACAAATTTCACACTGTGGTGACTGTGATCTCTGTATGGTCACACGGTGTGGACACTGTGATCTCTGTATGGTAACACTGTGGACGCTGTGATTTCAGTACAGTCACACTGTGACCACTATGGGATTACACTATGGCAGCGTGGTTTAACTGAGTGTTACGAACAGTATGTAAACTATGTGAGCACACTGTGTTCACACAAAATTTTCACCCTGTGGTCACTGTGTGCAATTTTTCTAAGGGATCTACATGCATATAGACCTACAAGGGGATGTTTAATATTTCCCCTATTTCATGGTGTATCATACATCAGGATTTGTAACACCAGGTTTAATACCAGTTTTCAAATTTTCAATCGCCTCTCATACAGCCTCGTGTAATACGGCATGGAAAACTCTACGCAGCGCTTCACATCAGCAGCGAGGCTGTCAATGGGCTGCAGGGCACCAGCCACTGCCTTTGACTTAAAAAACCCGGTGCTGTCGCGGAAGTTCTTGAAGCTCGACACGTGCCCTATCCTTTTTTTAACCCCTTGACCTATCACCCAGTTGTCCGTGACACCCATTCCCTTTTCCCAGGTGAGCATCGCATCCTGGTACTGTACTCCGAGCCTTTTTAAAGCCTCTGACAGCAACGTTGCTGGGTTGTTCATGAGGTCGTCTGAATCGAGGATGATGGGCTCTGCCTCGATTGTTTTCTCCCGTAGGTATTCGTATAGGTTGACTGCCTCCTTGAAGCTAAATCCTGGAGGTACCAAATGAGGAGGCAGCTTGTCCACCTCAAATTCACCCCCTCCCATCCCTAGCATTTGCTGTCCCTCTACGGCCATGATCTCTGGCAAGATCCTCTTGAAGGACTGAAACACCTTCACTGGGTTCCGGATAAGGAAGATATGGCGATAGCCCTCTGGGAGATACTCAAACTTGCCATCGATGCAGTAAGCCATCTCCTTGGCAAAGACGAACCTCTTGCCTGGGTAGTGGGCCTCCAGTTGCCTCTTCACCCATGGGTAGGTGCTCTTCTCGTCAGGGTGGTGAGAGCTATCTGTACCCACGACGGCGTTGTGTAACTCCTCCACTGGAGAACTTACCTTTGGTGGATTGAACTGGCCCAGACCATCCCAGTATGCTCCAGTATAAAGCTGAAAGAGGATCTTGGAGTCTGGGACCCTGTCCATGCACTTTGCAACTATGGATGAACAGGAACGTGGAACGGACCACATTATAACTCGCACGGGATCAGTCATCTTCCGAGTTTCTCCTGGAGGTCACTTTGCAGTTTTCTGTGAAAGAGGATTAAACTCTTAAGTGGCCGGAAAAATAATTCATCGCATTGATTTCACTTAGATATGGTTCCGGGCCGGTTGTGCTTGGACTTGGATTGTTGTGTTACACCACTCATTGGCCAAAAAGGGCAGAGCGCCAACAGGTACATGCAGTATTTTGACATCACCACTGTCAGCCGAAGAGCAACTGAACCAATTAGCCAGACACTTCACAGCTGTAGTGCCGTATGAGCCAGAGACACAGCAAGATTAAAGTGTGTGTAAAGTGTAAGTGTTCACATGTGTATGAAGAGTTTAACACATACTGCACTGTCCCCATATCCGGGGCATATTTGGGGTATATCTTCAGGTAAACCTCAACAGGAAATAGTTTCAACGGTTTATGTGGCACTCTATGCTGGCAACATGCGGTGTGGCTTCTCCATGTGAGACTGTGGCATGCACAAGTATTGGACACTGGCTACGGCTCTCCACTTCTGCCTCTTTTGATCAAAATTCAAAGCCGTAATCGCAGGAGACAGGATCGGATTGCGGCTACCCCTGTCATGCCCCACCCCTAGCCCCACAAATAGGGCTGTAGTGGTTCTCTTTTACAATCTGTCTCTTAAATTTCGCCACCACAGCCCTACTTCAAGGCATGTCTTAAATGCCAGAAATCCAAACTGCAGGATTGTCACAAACTTTGAATTCTAATATCCTCTGAAATGAGAATGACTTGACAATTTTACTTACACTGGCATATTCCTCAAGAGTTTGGACCGTCATACAAGCACCCTAAAGCTTTCCAAAATTGTAAATTTTCTGATGTATGGCGCCTTGAAAAACCCGGCCAGTAGTATCACATGCTGACCATGGGCAGCGCCATTTTGAAAAACGAAGGCAGCGCTTCTTTCGACGGAAGTCAGGGCATCCGAACGCGATAGGTGTGTAGATGCATAATTCATGTTGTCACAGTATTGCTTAGTAAAAAGTTGCGTGCGCACTTTGCTAGTGTACAGTCCGCCCACAGCACGTGTGTGTGGAGCATGATACAGTTACATGTATATTGATGAAATTTAAATTTCACCGGTTCCTTGTTCGTCTGACACGCAAGGTATGACGGGGAACAAGTTTTGTGTGGTACACTGTTCAGTATACCAGGGCGCCTGTCAGGTGCCTTGAAATCCGACACAAGACGAGCTACTTTCGTTTTTCAAAAAGGCGCCGCCCATGGTCAGCATGTAATACTTCTGGCTTGTTTTTTTCAAGGCGCCATACACTGGAAAACATACGGTTTTGGAAAGCTTTAGGGTGCTCATATAAAAGTCCAATCTCTTAGAAATACGTCGGTGTAAGTAAAATTGTTGAGTCATACTCATGTCTGAGGATTCAAAGTTTGTGACAATCCTGCAGTTTGCATTTCAGGCATTTAAGACATGCCTTGAAGTAGGGCTGTGGTGGCGACAGATATGAGACAGATTGTAAAAGAGAGCCACTATAGCCCTCAGTTGTAGGGCTAGCCCCACCCCATACACAGGTAGTGCAAGGTGAACATACGTGGTATGCCCCTGGGCCTGGATTTTGGCCGAACTATGGATGACCGCTTAAGCTTATCTGTAGCAAAAAGGACAATGAACCGGAGTGAACGCCTACACTTGCTGTTCTACGTTCTGTTCTGAGAGAGAACTAAAAAATCTCTGAGGAACTATGTCGTGAACTACCATCACGCATCACTGAAAACCCGTGGACTAATAGGCCTAATAATGATGGATTTTGTTATGTCATGTATGTAGCAGTTGTGTAGGGTTCAAACTGTCCACTGTTTGTCACTGACACCTCAATTAGCTTAAATGGACACACAATCCCCTGTTCACCACTTGATCGTGACTAACGTCAGTAATCGCGATTCACCAGGTCATCAGCAATACACGCAATACGGATTCAACTGCTTACACATGTCACATGCCGGGTCAACTCGGACCCAAACCAACTCGGACCCATTCCAACTCGCACCCATGCCAACTCGGACCCACAACCAACTCGGACCCATGCCAACTCGGACCCACGACCAACTCGGACCCATGCCAAC